TATGACCAAATTTCATTTTCATTTCATTGCAGGGAGGGTCATGAAAAAACCTTCAAAGTGATATTTGGTGGGTCATGCAAAACTATTGCAAGAAAATAGGGAAGGGTCAATATTTTCAGTACATTAGAGCATCCCAAATCTCTGAACCCACCTCCATGTAATAAATGGCAATATTTCCCTATCTATCTGCTCATCATATGCAGCAGAAACCCAGTTCTGGTAAGTATTACTTCTATTTACATGTACCTATATAATAAGCAAAATATTCATACAGACATAAAAAAGTAAAAGTGCCATTACATATCAAACAATGCTCATAGCAACTCCGAGCTTTTCAATGATTTCTCCCAAGCAGCCAATAAGCAGGGGAGATGACTCTATCAGACCTTACCTGAATTGAACACTATATAGCGAAACATTCAAAGTTACCGAGTAAAATAAATCATGTAAATCTGGCACAAAAACAAAAATATATTATATGTTGTATAAGGAAGCACAAAGCAAAAATCTATTAAGTTTGGGATGGTTTGGATACAACTTCAACTGATGAAAAAATACCTGAACTGCCACTACCAATACCAACAATGTGCATGACAAAATGTTTTTCATAACACCCAACCCCCAATTTTTTCATACGTTATTCTCTCACCAAATGAATAGTTATGAATGGTCAGCTGTTTATCTGTGACAATCATTCCATTTCCAATGTTTTAAGGAATAAATAACAATATCATTTTTTAAGTTTATATTTTGTGTTATTTTTCATAACATTATTCCTTTCTATTCTATCAAAATAACCATACTGAATCATATTTTGTTTAATTATGGAAACAGTAATAGGTTGACAGCCACTTCAGCTGATAATATATTTTCAGATGATTCTAAAACAATACCAAACTTTGAGATGCACATCATACATATACCTTGAAATAATCATGGCATATTGTTTAAATAAAAACACAACTGAACCACATATGGATACTGTCATAATGACAGGTTTACTTGAACTGAGCTGCATATTGACTGACCCGTGCATGTATTGTTATTGAAATAGAAAAATAAAGTTAACAATTCTAAAAGACGTATTTTGATCGAATCTCTCTTTGGTGATCTAAAAGCACAGTAACGTATACAAAGAACTGTTACTAAGTAAATCTCTACTGACTCAATGAAGGACCAGGTTGGACAAGGTCCCATGGACAACAGCAAATATTACAGAAAACATAGTTGAACAATTATCAGACAGTTTCTTACTTAAAACGTGCAAATATCATGCATGTGAAAAGCTGCGTTTTGGTGTAAAGTTTGTTACGAATTCGTCAATTTTCACTGAGTTTTATCATTTATTGAACTCATGACAATAATTTTGTCAATGTTACAAATGTGTTTTACAATACATCAGTTCATGTGTAAACAGTACCTTTAAACAGTATGGAAAGTTTTGCAAAATTTAGTTTAGAACAGATGACTTAAGTAAACGGCTACATTTACACTAGCGAGTCTAAACTTTTGATGGGGAGTATACATAAGAAGAATGGATTGCTATGTCATTAGTCAGTCTTTGTTTTGTGTACAGGAGCAGCTGCTTAAAACAGCCAGTGTTACCTAACTGGGCAAGTATCTTTGGTAATATCTCTTGGGCCCATAGCGCAATGTTTCGTTGACATAAAGATCGGCAGCATAACTAATCACCATTGTAAACACTACCGTCACTCTCAAACATGTCTGTCTCCACCACCTAACATCTGGATTGCACGTTAGTTAAAAGGAGCCCAGAGACTTCCAAGTTTATTAATATTTTATCGACTTCCATTAAATCTAAAAAGGCTAATGACAGTAATTTTTGCCAAAATACTATGCAAAATATGACATTATAATCATAATAATACAATTCAACAGATCTACAAAAACAATATTGCAGTGCCTATACAAATAGGAGCCAGCCTATATATAAAAACACCAGAAATCAGCATTTCCAGATGATAACAGGTGTGTTAAAAAAACCCATAAACACTGCAGAAAAATAGCCGAAAAAGTGAGAGTGGAGATAATTTAGCATCCCATGATCTACACAAAATCATAACATCACAATAATTCATACTTCTTCCATGTTACAATTGCTAAATCAGCAATTCTAAGTAAGTTGGCCTATAAAAAACATGTTCTGTAATTGTGACATGTGGCCTTGAGAGATGAAGTCAGCTGTTACCATGGCTACCAAGGAGGTGAGGTGAGGTATAAACAATTGGTAATAACACGACTTTCTAGATTTGACACAATATAAGGTAGAAAACTGATGAAATATGAAAAGGAAGACAATATTCTGGAAATTATAAAAAACATTCTCATTTGTTAGTCTAGATTTGTACCCACTGTTCTGCCTTCACTGTAAATACACATTTCATGTGTGGTGTCATAGTGATGAATGCTAATTTAGTCAGGTAAGCAAAGGGGACCCTACACAAGCAAACATACAACTCCAAATCTGTGTATGAACTTTGTGTGAACCAAACTGAAGTGGACAACAGTGACGCATGCTGCATGACAAAATTGTGCATTTGTTTGTCGTTAAATGCCACAATGAACAGATATCCAACAGTCCGTAACTAATGGAGTGTGGACCAGACAATCCAGTGAGCGACATCATGATCATCGATCCATGCATGCAGCGAGCGAATCTGATCCATTAGTTGCCATTTATCACAAGTATTGGTGCTTGCATGAGAAATATTGCCATTTGTTTGATACAACCAATGTGCTTACTGTTCTGAGCACTTGCATGTCTCCCTCTAACCTGGCCATAGTTAAAATCACAGTAAATAGGACGTAAATACAATTACATTAAGTATTTGGCCTAGTTAATAAACATTGTTTCTGGTGCTACTTTTTAGTGCTCCAGTAGCCCTTCCATTACCATACTGCAAATAATATAATCAGGGAAAACTATAAAATCCAATTTCCTAACTTATTTCGGTCACATATTTCCTTAATGTTCATCTAAGTCCAAGAAGGACAAGTCTCACCATTCGTTACCAATCATCATCAGTATTATTGTCTAAAACAGGTTAATACCTTTTAAAAGCAACATTTTTCGAGTGCTTCAGTAACATTTTATACTGTTGAAATGAAACCGAGATAGAGTTGTCATTCTTGTTTGACTGACTGACTGACTGAGTTTAGTTTTACGCAGCTTTTAGCAATATTCCAGCAACATCACGGCGGGGGACACCAGAAATGGGCTTCACACAATGTACCCATGAGGGGATTCGAACCCGGGTCTTCGGCGTGATGAGCCAACGCTTTAACCACTAGGCTACCCCACCGCCCCCATTCTTGTTTGAAGTAGTTCCAGAGGGGCATGAGTCAGTATTCGGCTTGTCCCAGAGTAACACAAGTGGGTCATGAATGATTCTTGCACATGTGTGTTTTTGTTCAAGCAATAATATGATTCCATAAAAACATTTGATTCAGAGGGAAAATTTTGGTTTGTTAAGTACGAAAAACAGCAGTAAAAATGCAGCCTCTTTGGAGAAGGAATTACAAGATAACAAAATAATACTTCAGACTATTGTTGAAGACTGGAATAACAGAAATGGTAAATATATTCAATATTTCACAAGTAAATGCTTTTTCATTGTGACTGGATTGTTAGGCCTTCTCAGTAAGGAAGGTCAAGGTGACTATGTCAGCTGCCATTGACATCCATGAGCTGCACAGGTCACAATAACTATAACGATGATCCACGATTGTGAGTGAGTGAGTGAGTGAATGAGTTTAGTTTTATGCCATTTTTAGCACTATTTCAGCAATATCACGGTGGGGGACACCAGAAATCAGCTCTCACATAGTGCCCATGTAGGGAATTGAACTCGGGTCTTCAGCGTGACAAGCGAATGCCTTAACCATTAGGCTACCCCACCACCGCTCCATGATTGTGATAATGTACCATAACCTGTATTAAATAATTCTTTCAATATTCATCATAACAATCCAATAAAATAAACAAAAATATTGAAAATGCCATTTTTAAACCAATGAATTTTGATTAGTTTCATCAACAAAATGAGACACCAAATGGGTGATGTTTGCTTCATAAGGCCAGATTAATTTAAGATTCTGTTTTCAGAATTTTATCACCCACAAATACATGCAGGAAAAATTTATTTTTTGTGTGTGTTAACATATAAACACCAATGACTCAATCAACAGCATAGTGTCTATGATCATATTTTCTTGAGTACATCACGTGCAGGTTATCCACTGTTACCATGCATTATTCCCCTTGACATCATCATCATCATTGTTTGTAACAAGTCAAAATATTTTAAAATCTTTTTTTTTTTGCTTCGGTAATGTTTGTTACTGTTAAAATTAAACGGGAAATGGATCTGTCATCTTGTTTGAAGTAATTCTGATGTTCACATGCCAATATGAAATCCTTTCCGAGGGCCTGTGTTGCTATTCGGCTTGACCCTGAAGTTACAGGTGAATCAATATAACATGAAGTCAAATTCATCTGGCCTCACATAACATCTGGCAAGTTAAAATGAATCAAATAATGGTTGTTCCCTCAGGATACATTTCTTCACTTCATATCATGGAGGTAGTTCTACTTATTTATCATTTTAAAACAAATACACTAAATTATGTTTTGCTATGACACGGGGAAAGTTGCAATACTGAGTTGCATAACAAGAACATTTAAATAGGAAAATTTTCACCTCGTCTTGTGTAGATACAAAAGATATATGTGATGAAGTTTTTTTCTCTCAGTCCAAAGTATAGTCTGTTTGCAGTGAAAACGTACCGATGAATTTCACTTTAAACAAAAAAGTAAATCAAATAACGTGAAATTAAGATTGCGAATCCTCATAATTTTACCTTGCCAATTGGACATTTAAATTTCAGGATTTTATTCAACTTAGGATAAAAGTTGTTTAACAAACAATCATAGTTTCAAATCGCTATTATTGGTTTGTATTACAAGGGGGTACGCACAGTAGTTGGAACAGTGAAACAAATGCACGTGCGGTGCGTGATGAGCGTTAACTTAGACTACCGTAGAAACCAACCCTTCCTGTTCTCAGGGTTTCATTCAATTGTGCTTACACTGCAAACAGACTATAACTACTTAAAGAAAGCTGAATAACACAATGTTTTAAGGCTGTGCATTGCACGACCCACTATGACCGATTAACTTTAAACTTACAGAAAAATTGGGTGTTCTTTAAATTATTTTGTATAGGATATTTTGAGCGTAAAACTGTTTACTGAAACTCATTGCTTACAATGATCACCTTTAAGTACAGAAGCTATATGCTTTGTATCTATTAAAATGTATAGAACTGGAGTACAAGGCCATTACCAACGTGTTCACTGAATTCACACATTAGAAATCCTTCCAACAGTAAAAGAAACTAAAGTAATGGGAGTAATTGTCGACCAAATGCAAAATAAACTACTTTTCAATATGACTTAGATAAATCTTAATCAAAGCTAACTAAATAATGCTTCATCGGTTTGGCCATTTGAAGTCAAATATTAGATGCATCAGTACAGCTTTCAACATGATAACAATTCTTTGACATTAATGGACAGTAGACATGTATATAATCAATACCCTGTGAATCTACTATATGTTTGTTCATGTTTCTTTTGGTCTGAAAATAATTTGTCCATCACGCACTTCAAGCTCCCCTGTTCCTCTCATGACACTATCTGTGTTGAGGGGCGACTGGACTCCGAGGTCACTACGAGTCACATCAGTAAGCACTATCTGACCTGCCTTGACCTCCAGGTGACACTGTCGAGGTCGTGTGTCATCCTGAGATGTGTTGAGCTGGTTACTTGAGCCTGCGGGTTCCAAATCTTCGGCACTTAACACAATTTTCCCACCTTGAACAGCCAGTCTTGCTGGCCTGGGCAGGGACATGGACCCGGTGTTGGACGCTAACGACTGACGTGAGCGTGACACTGTATCAGAGGTTGATGGGTTACAGTCTCTACTGCTATCATGAACCGACTCTCTATTGCTACTGGGGTTAGAATGGGAAGAGGTAGGGGTTGCAGCAGCGAGCCCTTGACCAGCCGCCACACCCCAGGCACTACCAGGATACACAGGAGGGTTAACGTCACTTCTACTGTTCCGTGATTCTTCTGTGGTTTCAGAAGTCAACGCCTCTACTAAATCTGAAATATCTTCCTGTATACTGGACATATCAGAGGTCTGGGGGGCTGTTTCGCGCACATCACCACCATTGGGGTTGGCGTGATCCTCAGGGGTGGCACCTGTCCCCCCTGGCTTTTGCCGTGGGGTGCGGTCTATTGTACTGTAAGGGGCCGGGGGAGAGCTGTCTCGTTCCAAGGCAACCACTTCATGGTATGGGGTCGGGGAATCCACAAACGAAGCAAAGTCCCCGGTTGGCACATATTGGACGCCATTATTAACATTGACAATAATATTGCCGTAATGAGAATTGGATCCTATAGCTAAGAACGGATCTTGTTCCTGGTTTCGACACTGGCTGGAGCTGCCTTGGTGCTGACGATGACGCTCAATTGCACGAGCGATTCGTCGGGCTCGTAGTCTTTTCATTTTTACACGGAATACAACAATCACAATCAAAGATATAAAGATGACAACAGCTACTGTGCAGCCAATCACTGTGTAGACAGTAGTTTTCAACCAATCAAAATGGTCATCTTCTGGAAAGGCTGGAGTTCGATCTGCAACAACATAAAGAGGTCCCTTCAGAAATTATGTCCCATGTGATATGACTGTGACATGGCAGTCGGTACTGCTGAAAAATCATTACAGTCCGTTTTGGTTCAAATGAGAACGATGACTGATTAAATAACCCAAAATAGGGATACGTGCACGAAACATAAATAAGACACATGGTCCTGAAACCTCTGTACCCTACAGGATCTGAAATCTGACGCTTTTTGGTCGATCACGGAAAATGTTGTCTAAGAAACTATCATGTAATATTTACTATTTTCACGCTTCACACCAAGGGGTGACAAACAGCTGGTGGAACACCGATGTCACGCACTGCAATTGCAGCTCAGCACAGCCAGGTGAGATGACCCCCCATTTGTCAGGGAACAGGACCATGTGTCTTATTTATGTTTTTGTTCATTAATCCCTCTTTCGAGTTATTTAATTATTCATCGTTCTCATTTGAACCCAAACAGACTGTAGTTGTATTTATCTGTGGCAACAAATTATAGAAGGGCCAGTAAAATGGCATGTGGAATTTGGAGTTATCTACCCATGGTTGCTACACAGGCATGACAGGCTTGATCATTAACCTTCCAGGATGAAACACTTTCTATAAGGCTGGCTGTACTTACATATTATACTACCAAGAGTGTGATTTGAGGTCTTACAGTTCGTAGCTTTGTAATATTCTTACCCACTGAATACAATATAATCTTATCACCTATAATGCAAACCCTACTATTAATTGTTTTGGAGATCACTTTTTGAAAAAGTGCAATCACCAAATCCCTATTTTTGCATCAAAAGAAATCTTAGTTGGACAAATTGTGGGACAAACAAACTTCTAATGTAAACATATATTTTTAACAGAAAGGTAACTTAACATAGTTGATAACATGTTGACTGGGGATGTCGCTCGGCATTATTCTTAAATTTATGAAATGCAAGGCAGTCATCATAAATTTTGAATACTTAATTCTTTTCAAAGACACTTTACAATTTTTCACCAGTTTCATAGTTGTCTCATCAATCCATCATCATATGGGAATTTCTGGGAGTTGTATAATGACATGGAATGTATTATTACTATCTGTGCACCCATTCTATGCAGTTGCATTTACTACTCAGAAGAAAACAGACATTATGTCCACAAAAATTGGGTAGAGTTATCCCCCTTTTCATTCGCCCAAAGGAGCTGTGTGAAACTACATCAGTGAATGGTGCTGTTGCCATGGCAATCATTACCCTCCTGACATCGCTTATCCTCGTCTGAGTTGTCCCCACAGTCATCCTGTTTATTGCACTGCAAGTCTTTGTTGATGCATCGGTGATTGTCACACACAAACTTGTCGGCACACTTGTCTGTAACAAACCATGACAAAGTTCAATGCTACTTTCATTTGTACTCTACATAATCTATTGCACTCATGTCTAATATTCGGATTTTGTTTTAGTGAGTGAGTGAGGAAGTAAGTAAGTTTAGTTTTACGCCGCTTTTAGCAATATTTCAGCAGCATCACAGCAGGGGACACCAGAAATGTGATTCACACATTGTACCCATGTGGGGAATCGAACACGCATCTTGGTAAGAGAGGCAAATACTTTAACCACTAGGCTACCTGTTCTGTTAAGGCTGCATATTCCAGCTATGACATGGTGGCCTTTAATCCATTTCGAAAAACCAGGGATTGGCATTACAAACGACTATCAACAATCAATTGTGTATTGAATTGTGTATTGAATTGTGTATTGAATTGTGTATTCATAACTATCAACAATCAAGCTTTGAATCAACACACAATCAAGTGAGTGAGTGAGTGAGTATGGTTTTATGCCACTGTTAGCAATGTTCCAGCAATATCAATACCAGAAATCGGCTTCACACATTGTACCCATGTGGGGAATCGAACCCAGGAGTTTAGCGTGTTGATGGCATGCTTTAACCATGTCAGACTCCAAGGTCGTGGACCCATGTTCCAAACACAATCACATGATTATCTTAAGTTTATGTTCCCCAATGCAATCACAACAATATCACTATTGTAAGTTTATGTTTAACGTATGTGAGCTGTGGTCACTGAAGCACAAAGAACACTTTGTGGCACAGGCCCAGCACAGGATAGAATCTTTCTGTACAGATAATAGGACCTTGAAATAGAAACTAATATTTGTACTAAAACATTACTCTGACAAAAGAAGTAGAAATCCACTAGTTAGCTCTGTTAATTCTTGATTGTTTGCAGAAACCAAAACTGGTCAAAGGGAGATAACTGCATACCCCACAACACCAAAACAAGCATATCTCACTGTAAAGTGCCAAATGGTGGTAGAATAACTCCACATTTGAAATCTTTACACACTTGTTACTCAAAACATTTCAGTATATCAACCGTCACTTGTAGTTTTGGCATTGTTTTTAGTGTATTTCATTCTTAGTTTGGGGCTAGTATTGTGTGATCAGATAACATCTGACTACACTCAAGCTTCGGACTAGTGGCTCAGGTCTCAGACTGTTTAAATACGAGGCGTCCCAGGTTAAAGATACTCATCAGGTCATACAGAAAGGGATGGCTCTGGAATTCCAATACCAATTTGTGAACCCAATGTGGAGTTGCAAGAACATGTGTACCAAAAAAGAACAAGATTGTTGTTCACCTTTCTCACAGTTGGTTTCATCGGAGCCATCGGGGGCAGTCATCGAAACCATCACAGCGGTACCTTTGGAAGATACAGTGACCTTGCGGCACACACTTGAACATCGGGACTGAACACTTCACTCCTTGCCTATCTGTAAGACAAAACACACAAAGTCCCTTAACCTTCCTTCCACCCAGCCCTAACTGAAATTGCAAAACTCTAAATGAAGCAAGTCTAGATTTCCCTCAGGTTCAGGATGTCCCATCTCACTGTGGCTCCTTTTCAATTTCATTGTTTCTGTATATATTTTCAGAGACTAAGCATTAGTCTGGCCCTGACTAAACTCTTCAGGCCCTCATTAAAACAGACTGCAGCATATTTCGTTTGTGTTGGGTGTTGTTTAACACTGCACTCAGCAATATTGCAGGTAGATGGCAGCGGTCTGTAAATAATCATGTCTTGACAAGCAGTGTGCGAAATGTTCGCTGATCCTGTGGTGCCTGACCAGTAAACATTCATCAGGACCACCAAATGACAAGTTTGCAGTGGTCATGGTGGCCAGTGACTGACTGAGTTTAGTTTTATGCCGCTTTTAGCAATTTTCCAGCAATATTACTGCGGGGGACACCAGAAATGGGCTTAACACATTGTGCCCAGGTGGCCAGTGAATTCTCCCCCCAAATCTACGAATGTTATTTTGGACCAGTGAAATACAGACAGGACCACTGATTATTGTCCACTCACTGGTCCTCTGGTCTTGCGTGAAATTTTGAAAGGTTTCTTTCCCTGACTAAACAACACAGTAATAAACAGTATGAGCATCAATCGATGAAATTGGAATATGAGGGCCATGTGGCAACCAAGTCAGCGAGTCTGACCACCCGATCCTGCTAGTCGCCTCTTATGACAAGCAATGGGTTGCTGAGGACCAGTTCTAACCCAGATCCTCGCAGCTTAATTTGACCAATAAACTGACACGTAAATTTACTGCAGCCGATAAGGACCAATACAGATTTGATACTATAGGTCCAAGTCAAGATTTCCTGCCACTGACCTACTGGCAGGCACTTATTTTGAACAATACTACTGACACCATGATAAATAAACAGTACAGTAGTTTGTAATGGACGAGGATTCCACATGGCTCACTGGAAAAGGAAAACCTTAAACTTTCCTTCTATTATTTTTTTGTTGTTGTCATCAGTACAAATAACATTAAAGAAACACTGATTTTTCAAACCTCAAGATGAAATGTAAAGCTAGTAACTTTGAGCAAATGTGTGACCAAGTTTGATTTTTTGTAACTGCATCATGGAACACTACTGGGTCCCGTTCCTCAAAGCGATCGTAGAACTCCCATACTTTAACATAGACTTACAATAGTCGTAGCGCTACGATCGCATTGAGGAACGGGGCCCTGCTCTGTGTCCCTACTAACCTTTAGGGGAAATAAATATGGTCAGCTTTTCCTTGACCTCATAGCTGTCTTGAGCTATGAGGATGCAGCTGTATCGCCCAGCATCGGAGGATGTGGATTTGATGGTGAGTTCCACGATACAGCCATTGTTGATGATCTTCTGCTGCAGGAAGCGCTTCTCGTGGGCCTCCCAGTAAAACCGCTTGTACAAGGAAGAACAGTTGCGAGGGGCATTACGTATCCTACATGGCAGTTTTTTCTCCCTACCCTCTGGAACTCTGATGGAGTGTCCAACATCGAGGGCAGGGTACTGTTTGGACAGCCCCCCTGCAAATAATAACAATGATGATAAAACCTCTTCACCTGAAGAAGAAGTAAGAATTAACTATGAAAGGTCTTATTAAACAAATATAGAAATTGATATCCAAAAACTCTTTGACTTATGTTTATCATTTTTAAAAGCCCTTCAAAGAATACATGATAATATAGGTCAGGATTGGATAATACAGGCCATTGGCTTCTGCATTTACCTTATAAATTAAAATTGTAGCTATGAACTTGTTACCTAATCAGTGCATTTCCAGTGTTCAAAACCCAAAGGAAAGTCAAAGAGTCCTAGTCAGAACTGTAACAATTCTAATATTAAAATTTAAATTTTAGAGGATCATAACACACAATCACCTTTGGAGTGAGCACAAATGACTTTTCTTAAATTAAAACATTACATTTCCTAAAGAGGGATAACTGACCAAGCTGTGTTCAGTTAATTATTATAATTATTCCACTATTACTTAAGGTGTCTACTTAGGACCAATAACCTGTGAAACTAATTGGCTATATCCTCATCACTGTGGCCATGGATGATCCTTACCTCTGCAAAACTGACACACTATAGATTGTATGGCACAAGCTGGTCTGTCTCTTAGACCCTAAAGAATACATTTATACTAAATTATAGTTGTCCTACTCAAGGTTAGAACTTAGAGTGGCTTGGCAAGTCTAGATGGCCACAGCTATATGGAACTAAGCTAAGATATTAAGCATAGCTCTGGACTCCATTTGAATTTGTTTTGTAGAAAAATATTCTTTTATATTTTTATAAGGAACTGGGACTCAGTGTCAGCCTAGGTACAAAAAGTTGGAATTCTTTGCAAATATGAGTTGAGAACTTACGTATATATATATTTATGTAACGCCAATATCCAGATCACCTGCTCAAAGGTGCTTTGTTTTTCCCTCGAGCATTGGATGTCAGTCTCAAACGGCACAATGCATTATCAATCTCAACTCCCTGGGGAGCATACAACTCTTGCAGCCACTAGGCGCACCGAGTTGATGTGGCTTTCCCATCCTAACGAGGTACCCATTCACAGCTGGGTGGACTGGGACACGTAGTCACAGTATTTTGTCCAAGTTTACAGCACGTTGCTGTACCCGCAACTAGGTGTTTGCACATATTCATGTGGCCACCATCTGGTCATATACCAACGGATTCGTGGGTTGTTTTAAGTACACAGGGTTGTGTACTGTACACTAGGGGTTGTGACAACACTGAGAGAGTCTGCACGCAAAGTTAACTCCAAGGTTTTTACACTCGGTCACAGGTGGGCTCGATCCCGTCACCTCAAGCTCGCTGGATCACTAGCCTGGCACCTTAGCCAGCTTGCCCACCATGCCCCCGAATAACATTATTAACCATCATAACTGGGTTTTGTAAAATACATATACAGCTCAAACGTAGTTAAAGAACACTTAATTTGTTCATTTGACTACAGTTCTCTGTAATATCATATGAAAAGATAGGTTGCTCTTGAACTTCTTTTGACAGGCATATAATAGGCAGTGGCTTAGCAGCTTACTTTGAGCATTATCTCATCATTCTGAAATCGGTAACATAGTCTCATGCAGCATATTAAAATACATTCTCTTCCCACATAGGTTACTTGTCATATCTTCCTACGAAACTCTGTTCTAATACAGCCATATTTCCCAGTTCTCGTAAAATCCCCTAGCGGCAAAGAAACGCAACACAAATTATCTCCCTTCTTCTATCCAATCAGAACATGTGTTACATCGACTTAGATCCAACTTGATACAAGCATATGTGGGGCCACAAATATCCCTCCTCTGCCGGTGACTTGTGTTGATGTGACACACAAGACATTGCTACCCTGTCTGTTGTCAACGAGGGCAATAATTGATCCACCATTACATGACTTCTGTCTAGAAGAAACGTTTGCGCATTACGCTGGGAAAGAGGTTTTAGTTTTCCTGAAGCATGCGGAAATAACTGAGGCCTTGTGAATGATCACTTTTGAAACAACATCGCTGATTGCACAACTAAATCCGATTGCAACGAATCGCGAATCCTGAACACTTGCACCATGAAAGGGGAGTATTAGAACAGAGGTTCGTAGGAAGATATGACAAGTAGCCTCAGCATGCAGAGAATGATTAAAATAGTGTATTTGGTAAAATGCACAAGTACAGCCACTGTTCTTCGTTTCTCAGCTTGGGGGTGAAGGGTGAGGTCAGTAAGTCCCCATGACATTAATACAATTCCATTGCGGGTAGCTACCAACTTGCCATTTTCATATCTTAAAACATCTTGAAAAAATATCTTCAAACACTCAGGTAAACGATCTCGTTTTCTCAATGCAAATGTGTGCTGCAACGATAAAATTGTCATGGGAAATTGTAACGCAGTGCCACGACAGTAAATTACCAGTGACATGTATAAGATCAACTATTACTTCCGTACTTGCTATACACAAATGCAAAAGAGCAACAAGTGGGGAATGACAATTCTGTAAAAACTTGTTAATTATACGTTTGCAAAACACTCCGAGTTTTATTACCCAAATCAAGGCCCACAAAGAAAATAAACTTTCGAAATTGCAAACAAAATAAAGCATGAATATTGCACATACACTGGACGTCTGCAGTGGCAAGAATTAGGAAGATGATGACTTTCATCCTCCAACCATTTTCTATCACGCTAAATAATTCCGAAATTCATCAATATTTCTGCTTGGAAGGATCGACGCCATCTTTATCACAAAGGTAGCTAACTCTGTCTCCGGTCCTATTGCGTCCCGCTAAAACGATTCAACGCGTTCCCTTAAATGCATACAGCAGTAGGCTATGCCGATGAAGCAGCAAAGCCGAACTTGGATTTTCTCAAAACTTCAAACCTGAACATTAAGATAGCCAGGAACATCGTATCCCAAGGAGTGGGTGAGGATCCCAGACAAAATGTGCACACCTCTGGGGACTCCTGTCAATAGTGTGCGAAAGAGCCACTGGCCCGCTAGCCCATGGCTAGTACAAATCCAGTCGGGCCAGTAAATCTCCACAGTCACTGGCCCGACTCACTTGTGAATTTTCTTGGGGTCATTTTTTAATTATATCACTCTCTCCGACTTGTTAAGTTATAATACACTTTTAAATCATGCAAGATTAAGGCCTGATAAATTATTTTGTGGGCTAGTAACTTTAAGACATAGCTTTCCCGACTGGCTAGCAAAACGTGGAAACTTTTGCGCACACTGCCTGTCAAGAACCGACCCCCAAAATCAAGCCTTGTGACTGCCATGTCCAGTGGGACGACAAAAGTGAAGTTAAAATGTGATCCAGCGAATTGTGTGTCATTATAACGCTTACCTCGGGGGTCACTGCTTATGGTTTTAAACCCTTGATTTAAATGACTACGAAGCAAAGCGTGGTTAAGTGTTCGCTCGTGGTTAAAGTGTTCGCTCGTGGTTAAAGTGTTCGCGCGTGGTTAAAGTGTTCGCTCGTCACGCCGAAGACCCGGGTTCGAATTCCCACAGGTATTAAATGTGTGAAGCCATTTCTAGGGCCCCCGCCGTGATATTGCTGGAATAGTGCTTAAAAACGGCATAAAACTGTACTTACTTACTCCTACTGTGTCTGCAAAGAATTCGTAGCCGAAATCTTTCATAACCCATTGTCCCTTCTGTACAGTGAAATATTTTTAATTGCGAACTAACCGTATAAGGTATAAACTTTTCAATCACTGCCGTTTACAACACTGAACTAAACGATATTATTTTTTTTAAAAATTATTACCTCTTCCAGACCGTGTGAAAGCCGTGTGCATGGAAGTGTAGCAAACGGAAATATTTGCTGAGTTAAAAAGAGAAAAAAACATCGATCAAAGGATTAACCGATAACACGTTGATTGATTGATTAATTACTTTAATCTCGCACAGCGGATTTGTCAAAAGGTAATATATATATATGTAGATGTACTGAATATACACACATTCTGTCGTGAAATGATTGTGTAAAAAACAACGTTTTTCCTTCAAAGAATTAACCGCCAATACGTTGATTGGTTGCTCATTGTTGTCTAACTAAATTATTTTTAAAAGAATGGCGGACATCATGTAGATAGTTGCCTGGTGTGCTACCTCGGGAGACCAGTGAGACTTTACACCACTGTGAAAACCTTGAAACAAAGTCACGTGACCAGTTGAGAAACTACCACTAGTCATATACAATTTGTCTATATTAAACTGATAAAAGACACATGACATGGAGCAGATTTTTTGTCAACTGCAAATGGACGGCATGTCGTTCTTCTATGTGGATATTAATGGATACATGCATTCCTCGAACAAGGTATATTATTGATATAGTCGGTTTTAATTTGGATAGTTGTATTTTGTTTTTATTCATTCAAAAAGATCATTCCATTTCATATTTTTTTTGCCGTGAAGTTCTTCGATCCGAGACGGACACCATGCACTAGGTCGCACTTAGGGCGTGTGCGAGTGTGAAACATGAATCACTTAGGCAATCTACAAAGTGTCCAGATATTACAGTCATTTTATAAATTCACTAAACAACAGATTGTGTACTTTTTATGAAGTTCCAAATTGATTAAAAATATAATGATAAATTAATTATGTTAGGATTATATGGCAAAAATGCAAAACATACATTGACTTCGTTTTCTTTCAGATCTAACATTTTTTACCCTTGGCAGATAAAGTTAAAACACAACTTTGCAGATTCTGATACCTTTCGGTATGGACTTACCAAAAACAAATCATCAAAAATGCAAATTCAACTTATAAAGTTGAAAAATAACGCGATGAAAAAAAACGCGCGAAATCGGAGTTCAAACGATTCACTAATTTTCCCCCGACTTTTCGGAGTAAAACTGGTTTCAACAGCTGGGCTGCGCTTATAGCACGTGCGCAGTGAAAAAGGTTCGCGCAACTTGGAAGCGGGCTGTCCGGTGAATACTCGGTGAAGGCATTGGTGTGAGCTATTTTCCTAATGTTTTGTTGATATCTCACAGGCGCGAGCTTTTTATATGTTATGACAGTAAATTAACTGTTTATATAATTTCATTTGTCTATTTCACCACACGTTCTTCTTACCGAGTCACTTTCTCAGTTCGATACTTAAAAGCAATGTCATTATTTAGCGTTGACAGAATTTCTAACTGTGATATAGATATGTCGTTGTTACAGACAAAACTCAATGTCTTGTTTTATTGACACCTATGTGTCAACTGGGATCACTGACCACATGCAATTTGAACTTAACACCAATCAGGCTATACACCATAAACAAAATGCATTGATTTATGGCCCGAGTTCGGTCTCTGTCACATTTTGTAATTACACAGACAGGCAGGTGTGATACTTGAACACATGACATGTTATGATGTCTGTTGATTGCAAAATGTTATCCACAAAAAATGAGCATGTATTTACAAAACCCAACATCTCTATATATACACACACAATGAGCCGCGAGGGCATCTGCAAATGAACCAGCCGTTACACTTGAGTGCACACCCACCCACTCTGACTGGGTTCGGTATCCCGGCTGCTTCGTTTCTTGGGAAGTAAACCCAAGTACACAATATTGCACTTTTGATTTGCGATTGTACGCTTATAATTTTGTTTATATGTTTGTTCATAATCAGCAATGTATATTATATGTCATGAATAAGTGATAATTGTGTTTTAATTATGTTTGATTTTTTGGTTGCATGTGACCTTTAAACTTCAAAAAGGTTTCATTTGTTATCATGATCACGAAGGAAATATTAATGGGGACAAAAGATGACTACATTTTCCAATTAATTCCAAGACGAAACTTAATTTCACCCTCGTTTATCAATGTTAGGATGCACCCTTATACTACAATTGCGCTTGTTGGGTTGCGCAGCAGAGATCTCTACCTAGCCAAGAATTATGGGATATTATCAGGGTAGTCTCGGGAGAAAAACAATAACAAATGCAACAACCAGTCCACGGAAATTGCTATGGATCAGTGCCCCTTTAATTTAAAGTTTAATTAATAATCTTTGCCTAATGAACTAACTCCTTTGACTGTTTATCAACAAAAATCACACATACAGTACTTATTTTTGTTTTGGCCGAAAGACCTTTTACAAAATGTAATTTATATTTCCATCACCGACACATAAATGGGAAAATAACATTAATGTCATAAAAAAACACGAAACCTTGGTATACTGATGACAATAGAAACTGTGTTTTCAGGCCATTCTCGTCATCACTTTTTTAATGCTATTTTTGAAACCCTTCAGGAAACGGAAAACAAAAGCCTAGGGGCTGAAACCCTGTTTAAAATGGCCCCCGCGCTCACCGACAGCCCGACCTACTTTTCTATTCCAGCTTTTCTATTCAAAGCTGAATGTAGGGTGGTGTTGAAAGTACATACTACCACAGTGGAGACTGGGGCCTACCTTTAGAATACAGCACCACAAACTTTAAAAATACGCCATAATACCCTTTTACGTAATGTAATGTGATTTTGTTCGAAAGCACGTTCTCGAAACAATGCCCTATGACACCTGCATGGCAACACTGTTGTCTGGCTCAGCGAGTGCGTATATAGAGAATACTACACGAGGTCTCATTACATACGAATTATACGAAACGAGTGTCCTTCCTGTGGTATCTGACCGAGCGAAAGCGAGGTCAGATAACATATAGTCCATTGTATTATGTATTTTCGTTCAAAGAAATTGGAGATTAGCAACAGTATACATTTTCTTAAACCAATCACTACACTTGATGTAAAAAACAATGTTTCCAATTTTTCCCATCATCCCATTGGCGGCCATCTTGGATTTCAAAATGGCCGCCACATTCAATAATGTGCCACCCTTTTTTTCACTTTTAAGTACAATTCTGGTTCTATTTTCAGTACATGTATATATTTGAAGCTTTTATGCTGTAAAGGATTACTTGTATACACCCCAGTATCAAAGACACTGTTAATGTGTATACATGAAGGGGAAATGTGTTATTATATACAAAATCTAAACATTACATATTTCATATCAGCTATTTATGATATATATCTATACACTGAACTCCCAGACACTTGTATTTTGTTATACTTATTTTGCTCTGTATAAAACAAGAATATTATGAATCTTATGATAACCACACTAGCTGTTAAAAATCAATGAAACTACTAACTTGTTGATCAGTGGTGTAAGCGTAGGAACAGGTTGAAGATGAATGTCCACAATGTCACAGAATTGATAGCTTAATGTCTATCCTCAGATGTTGCAATCTTCAGACAATATAAGCACCAAATACACAACACCATTTACAGCAAGTCATCAATATCATCGTGATTTCCATTTCAGACATGTAATCATATCTCCAATCGAAAAGTTGTCATTAATGATGAAAGTATATATCCACAATGTCACCGAAAGGAGAGGTCTTTCACACTCATCATAAGATATATTTACAGCAGTTCATCAAAGTTATCATCAGGAACTGTTTCCTCCACTTGAGACTCTTCATTCTCACACTGATTACTGCATTGACAAAGTTCAGTACATGGTAAGTCCTTTGATTTGCATGTACACCGCTGAGTTGAACAGTCTGTCTTGCACTGGCATCGAACCATCTCGAGAATAGCCTGGGCAGCTGGCAGAACATCTGTGGTGACTGGTCTAAGATGAGCATCTTTATCCCTATGAAACCCGTATCTCATTGGGTCCAAGAAGACTTGTTTGGCAACATGAACTTG